TACATAGTTGTATATAGTCTAGATCTCAGGAATTTATTAGATATGTACTTTGTAACTATTTTTCCCAAGTCTGTAACTCATATATGGCTTGCTTTTTTAAGTGGTGTTTTCTTTCTTTCTTTCTTTCTTTTTTTTTTTTTGTATTTTTACCGGTACCAGGGATCAAACTCACGACCACACGCTTGGCAAGGCAGGCGCTTATGCCGCTGAGCTAAATCCCCAGCCCCTAAGTGATGTTTTCTGATGAATAGAATTTTAAATTTGGGTAAAGTTTAATTATCAATTTGAATTTTTTCTGTGTTCCAAGGAAGCTTTGCTTATTCCAAGTTTATAAGGATTTTCTTTACTCTAAAAGGTTTACATCTTAGCTTTATGCATAGGCATATGAATCACACTGAATTAATTTTTTGTCATGGTGTGAGGAAAAGGATGAAGTTTGATGTTTTTCAGCACATTAAGAAAAAAAGACTTTTTATTCCTTCATGGGATTACATTTGTGCATTTATCAAAAGTCATTGGGGTCAGAGACGTGAGGCTTTCCAAGGGTTAGGGACAGGCATCCTGGAGGGCTGTGATGGTGTTACCACGGGATCTTGTGCTGATGAAATAAGCCTGTGTCTTGATTGTGGGGACGCTTACATGAGTTTACACCGGTGATGCACTTCCACAGAACTAAATACACAATACGTGTACCAACATCAACTTCCTGCTTAATATGGTTTTGTAATTATATTAATGCAACCGTTCAGGGAAGCTGAGAGACGAGTACATAGAACCTCTTGTTATTTTTTGCAATTTCCTGTGAAATTATAATTATTTTCAAGTAAAGTGTTTAGGAAAATCTATTGCCATATAACTGTGGATCTAAGTCTGGGCTCTCTGTTCTGTTTCAGTGATCTGTCTGTACTGGTACCACTTTGCCATGGTTACTGTAGCTCCGTAGAAAACCGTGAGCAAGTAAATCTTTCAATCTGGTTCATCTTTTTCTAGATTTGTCCCACATTTCTTATTACATTTGCCTCTTAAGCTAAATTTAAAAGCATTTCATCCTTTTCTACATAGTGGAATTATGATTGACTCTGTAGTATATTGACATTGTGACAATAATAAATCTTCATTTATTTAAGCATTCTTCAGTTGCTGTCCGCAGTGTGTTCCAGTTATCACTGCACATCACAAATAAAGGTTTCATATCCTCTGCTAATTTACGCTTCCTAATGCTGTTAGAAAAAATAGCTCCCAATTTCAGTGTTGACTTGTTTTCAGCTAGTATACAAAATATAATTGGTTACATATTAACTTTGTTACTTGTGAACTTGCTAAATTAACTAATTCAGGGTTGGGGATTTAGCTCAGGGGCACAAGCGCCTGCCTGGCAAGCATGAGGTTGTGAGTTTGATCCCCAGTACCAAAATAAATAAATAAATGAACAAACTGATTGTGGTGGTTGTTTATAAATTTCTTATAATTTTTTATTTTGGTTTTTCACCTAAGTTCAACAAGGATATTGGCCTGAGACTTTCTGTTTTATAATATTTATGTCAGTTAAATATTTACTCTATAAAACAACTTGGAAAGAACTTCTCAATTTTCTAAAAAAGCTTTTTAAAAATGTCTTCTTTAATCATTTGATAAATTTACTATCAAGCAAAACTTCAAAAAACTAGCAAATCAGCCTAGGCTTAGAGTTATTTCTTTGTTTTAGTGGGAAGGGTTTGGGGAATTATTTCTGTTTTTTGTTTGTTTGTTTGTCTGGTTGGTTGGATTTTTTTGAACTATTTACCTTTTGAGAGCTTGTTTGGAAGTTTCAGCAGGGAGCCCAGCTGCTCCTACACCCCTGGCAGAGGAGCAGTGCTCCTGCTTTGGGGTGGTTGGGCAGGGGGGAAGGGCGGTACCCCAACCTAACCAGCCAGATCAATCAAACCAACCCTGGCGATCCATGGGGTGACAGATATTGCAGCCAGGTGGCCCTCCCATCCTGTCCTATTTACCTTGAATCAGTATTTGTGAAGTATATTTTTATCAAAAAAATTGAAAATTGTTAAATTTATTGGTATAAAATTCTCTGTAACATTCTCTTGTTGTTTTTTAATGCCTACAAGATCTATAATATAGTCTTTCTTTTATTTTTTTACTATGGTAATTGACATACACTCTTGTTCTTGAATAGCCTTGCTAGATGTCTATCAATTTTGTGGATCTTTTTAAAGAACCAACCTTTTGATTTTTTAAACTTTTTTTTTCCTATTGGTTGTTTTCTATTCCATTCATTTGTACCTTTTATTATTTTGTCCCTTCCACTTACTTTGCTGAGGTCTGGTATTTTTTTTAATGAAGATTATTCCCACTTATTTGTGTCTGATGCCAGTTGTGGTGGTACAATGCCGGGCATGGTAGTCTCAGCACTCAGGAGGCTGAGGCAGGAGAATTGCTGAGAGTTGGAGGCCGACTTGGGATAAATAGCAAGTTCAAGCCCGTCTGAACTATGTAATGAGATCCTACACCAAAAACAAGAAGAGAACCAACAGACAAAAAACCCTAACAAAACTACAGCAGCAACAAAAACAAAACATGTGCTTGGCCATCAGCGAACTTGGCTGGATTCAAATTGCAAATGCTGTTTCTCCTAAGTGGGCAGCAACAAATTCTTAGTTCGGTTTTTCCAGCCGCACAGAACAGTCAGAGTCCACCTGCTACGCGCAGCCATCAGCAGTTAGCAATTCTTTGAATGGACTTTAAAGGAGGGATTTAGAATTCCCCTTTAAGACTCGTTCCTTTATAGGGTTTGTCCTTTCATCTGACAGTTGCGGTGGTCACCCCAAACTCTGTTGGTTCTTGAAGTCAAAACAGTTGCAGATTTTCTACCTGAATTTTAGTTACCTTCAACGAGCTTCTGCTCCCAGATGAAATCTGGAAACAAAGGGAAACTTGCCAGTGCTTTTCCCCTCTTCTAAGTCTAGATTTGACTCCTCTTTGGTGTAGAACCATTTTTTAAAAAAGAATTTCCAATGCCTTTAGGCAGGTGTTACTTTGTGTTTGTCAAAGTCTATCCTTGTTACCTGCAGGGGCTTCCTCTGAGAACCCAGGAGCCGGTCCTGGTCCTCTCTGACCAGGGGCTGGAAGCCACAGCTTGCTTGTGTTTAACTTCACTCCAATGGTTCTCTTTGTAAGTGTTAATTTGGCCAAATTTCTAGTGCCAAGAGCAAAACAGAAGGTCTTATATAACACAAAACTGGATTAGCTGGCCTCTGAATATCTAAGCTCACCATGTCAGTGTTCTTTGAGTGAGGTCCTGATTCATTATGCTGTGCGAGTCCACCTCTAATTGGGACGAGGCTAACTCCAGGCGGAGATGCAAAGGCTGTTGAATTTGTCTTTTGGTGCTGACTCTTCAGCGTCTCTCCCTGTGCTCTTTCAGGATCCTTTCTGGTGGAAGGGAATTGTTCCCTGATCTCTAGATTTTCTCCCTTTGTAGTGAATATCAGGGCTCATCTCTCCTTACTCACTGGAGCCCTACCCCTTTGCCCAGCTGGAGCTGGTGAAGGAGCTGAAGTCTAGTTGTGCAGCAGTGACAATGTGTTCAGTGCTCTCTTCCACAAGCTAAGTCTTCATTTAATATTGATCACTGGGAAACCATAGAATGAGCCATGGAATGTAAAGCAATCCAGTTCCTTCATTTTTCCTATTGGAAAATACATTTCAGAGAGGGTAAATGACTTGTCTCAGGTAATGCTTTAGTGAAATTGGGGCTAAAATCCCAATTCCTAATCATGAGTGGACTCAAGAATGGCTTCAATCGTGGAAGGTGACAGGATTTCAGTTTTCTGCATGGCTAGCTTCCCTCTTTAAGGGTGACATTCAGAGTAGACAGCGATGGCATGGTATGCAGTGGGTGTAATATCAATATTGAATGATGAGAATTGATTAAAGGAAGGATATCTTACCTAAAGGAGAAAAAACTGAGTGGGGACACTACGGAAGGGCTGAGAGAGAACCCAGACATATTCTATGGAACCCCATACAACAGAACCATGACAAATGGCTGAAGATGTGGGTTAGTTCAGCTTTGGACAAGGAAGGATTTGCCTACAATTAGAGATATCTGCAAACGGAAAGGCTGGTGCCTGAGTTCTCTCGGGGCAGCCTATGGTAAATTCTGTACTACTAGAAGCTTTGGACCAGCACGTGTGTAGGCCACTGAGCTAAATCCCCATTCCTTAGAAGCTTTTGAGGAGGCTCAGCAGAGACAATTTGGAAGGATTCTTTCAGTAGATGTGAGTTTGGAATAGATTCTCTTCTAGTCATTTAAAATTACTAGAATCTCTGTTTTGATGATGGAAGACTTTTCTGTTCCAATCAATATCCCAGACATAAATACAATACTAACCTTCCCTCTAGAGGGAAAGGGAGTCTCTGAATACTCTAACACACCACTCCCTCTGGCCCAAACTGATACACCTGGGCTTTGGTATTGATTGGATGGTGTGGCTGGTGTGATGTACTGTGATGTGGTGAGGGATGATGTGATGTGGTGTGTGTGTTCGTGTCATGATGTAATATACTATGACACAATGTGATGTAATATGGTTTACTGTATGCTATGGTATGGTATAGTGTGGTGTGGTGTGGTATGACTTGATGGACTTTGTTATGGGTTTATGTGGTGTGTGATGGTATTGTTATGGTGTGGAACATTGTGATGGGTGAAAAATCATGGTCATAGTCTTTTAACAGCTGTGTGGCTCTACTGGGTTAGTGACTGTGTGGTACTGGAACATTTTCAGTTGCTATGGCAGATGGCACTTGAGTGATTTCCTTGGCACTGTTGACCACACTTTTTATAAGAAAGCAAGTCTTCAATGCCATCCTGTAGCAGTTGGTAGAATCATTTAGCAGCCATAGTATTATACATCATAACAAAGTGTACGAACACAGGGCCCACGCAGTACCTGTCTTTTACCATCCCACCCACCCCACCAACAATAAAGAAGAGGCAGGCATCAAACCGATCAAGCCATGATTTTCTAGTTTTGAAAGCAACAAGTATTTTAAAGTTTCATCCATGAGACAAATCATAACTTACATGGCAGTTCTGACAGAAGACCAGTGTGATCTTAAAATACACCTTAGGATTCTAAGGTTTGTGGCTTGCAAGGCTGATCAGTGTCAAATACTGCACCAATGCGCTCTCGGAATTTCCACGAAGGAATAAACTTTGCCAAGGCTTTAGGTTCTGGAGCTCTAATAATTTGTGCTGTTTGTATATTTTTGTAACATATAGCAGCTCCCATACAATGCCTTCAGGAACTCTGGGTGTGGAACAGGTTCACTCCTGACTTCTTGGTCTCAGTCCCCTTTTCCTTAACAGAGTAGTTCTTCAGGACAAAGTTGTCACTGAGCATTACTAATTCTATGAGTAGTTTCTTTGGAAAATCAGAATTTTATTTTGGTTTGATGGTTACTGGTTAAAGAATGCTAGATGTTTCACGGACAAATGTACCAAGTCTTTTGAAAAATTCCCTTTGAGGGAGAACACGTGGTAGGAAAAAAGATACTGATATCTGTGATGGAAGATGGTGGCACAGAATGCCAGTGTGACTTACTGGAAGGTGCTGAGGTTGGGAGGGACAGGAGAGGAAAGAGGGGGGAAAATAGAACAGAAACCCAGGAGAGGAGGAAAGGAGAAAAAGTAGGGAGTGGACAGAGAGACAAAGAACCCTTGGTTAACCTTTATTTTTGTGGTCTGATTTTGCTTTTTGAGACAGGGTCTCACTTTGCAGATCAGGCCTGCTTTGATGACTAGCCCGGCTGGCCTCAATATCACAGCAATCCTGCCTCAACCTCCTGAGTGCTGGGATTATAGGTCTGTGCCACCAGAGCTGGCTAGATTTAATTCAACACTCTGCCCTCTTTGTTCTCACCAAATTCAGACAAGAGGAGTTATACTCAACTCCTAAATAGTAGTAACCCTTCCCAGTGGGCCTTCTGCCTCCCCCTTTTCCTCTCTCGAGCCCAATCATGGTGCTGGTAAAGTCTACCCCTCACCCCGCTTCTCATCTTTGACCATCCAAGAGTCAAGTATGAGGGGCATAGCACCTGCCTGGCAAGTGAGAGGTCCTGAGTTTGATTCCCAGTACTGCTCCCAAAAGAGCCAAATATGATTATCATCATCATCAACACTAAGAAGCAGATAGTAAGAGGTGACATAACCTCTGATTGTCTTGGAGCCTGCAGCTGTGGCTCCTGGGGGACACCCCCAACCCTCCACATCTTTTTCTGTAGGGACCAGATATTCTGCCGGTGGTTGGACACGGTGAGATGCTGCCCATAAGGAAGAGGAAATGACATTTGCTTTTGTTTGTTTCTTCTTGGTTGTCCTAAAGACCTTTAAGCAGGTATGTGTTCTGCATCGCCATTTATGGGTGAAATTTTATAGCCACTAAAATGAAAGTATGTTTCCTGCTGCAAGGGCTAGCTAGCTGCTCTTCCAGAAACATTTAGAGTGACCAAATTATTGTCTATATGTTTATAGACAACTTTGTCGTCATGGTTTTCCTAATGGTGCTTGCTATGTTAGAATACGTGCTGCTCGCATGCCCCCAGAGGAGCCAGGGCTTCCGGCTGGTGGCTGGTTCCCCCTCCTGACCACCCACCCTCACATCACAGAACACTTCTGCTCCGCTGACTGCTTGATTTCCGTGAAGGTGGCCTGGGCCTTTTCTTTTATGGTATCCAAGTCCATGTTTTGGAGATTCTGTAAGTGCCCGAGAATGGAATCCTTATCTTCTTCCTCCTCTTGATCTTCATCTACCATTTTCCGAAGATCTTCAGGTAAATCCACATCATCTCCAGCCATCTGAATTTGCGTCTCATCCATTTCACTCTATGTGAAAAATAAACACACACTAAATAAAGTATAAAAGCAGCAGGAACTCAAAGATCTGAAAATGAATAAACTACTGATATGTTTGACTGAGACTCGCCATATCTTTATCTTGCTGGCAGTCAGTGAAGCCAGAGTTCTGTGTTTGGAGGTCACTCCTTTGCTGCACCTCAGGCTGACCAGACCCTTCTAACCTGGTAAGTCTCCAACTACCAAATAGCTCTACCTGGTAGTTCTCCTCTCGCCATCTAGGAGCCTTTTAGAAATAAATTCTCTGGCCTACCTGAGACCTATGTGGTCAGAAACTCGAATGCTGGCCCCCCAGGGCCTGGATATTAAGAAGCCCTCTCTGCACATTGAAGCTGGTGCATTCACCCTGTCGCCCCTGCAGGGCAGCTTTGCAAGTTCTGCAGAGACTGCCAGTCCCACTCTGGCTGATCCCAAGGCCCTGAATGATCCACTCTGAGGAGTGGGGTTTGCATTGCAAGTGATCAAACAGGGCTTCAGGATTTTTAATCATCCTGCTTCAGGGCAATTTCTGCTCAGCCACTGCCCTTTCTCTTTCTTCTGTGAGCTCTTTGGGGACCCAGCATCATGTCAAACCCAAACTTACCAGTTAGTGCCTGGAACTGGGCATGCACCCAGTACATGTATGTTAAGGGAGGCATGGGGACCAAGGTTCCAGCTGGCACATTGTGCTGTGGCACCAGCACCAGATTACCCAACGACTTTCATTTTGGGGTGTTAGCCTGGCCACCCCAGGGCTTCCTAGTCCATGCTGCCTGCTCTTTGGTATTCCTTTGTAATTAGACCACAGAGCCCACTCTTCTGAATGAGAGAACAACATAAAGAAATACATCAAGTGTAAAGGGCTGTAGTAGCTAATGTTTCCAGATGCTAGCTCTCCGACAATTTTTGGAGATCAGGTTGTAATAGATGGAGACCTGGGTTTCAGAAGTACAGAAGATTAAAGGGTGTCTAAAAGATAATGATATTAAAAACCTACATTAGGGCCTACCTCTATAGCTTGTGATCTGCTGTGCATTTGTTACCAAAGGTCATGAAATCACGTAGAGATAAAGTGGCCTCCTAATTAGACCACTGATTTGATTTATGAAAGACTGAAGCATCTGTTGAGTTCCCAGGTGGACTAAAAACCATTAATCAGAGGAGAGCAGAATGCCCCTTACCTGCCTGTGAGTAGAAATGATCAGAAAAGAAACATCAGCTGTTTCTAGATCCAGTGACAGCCCCCATTTTAAAATGTAAAGTGGGCCAGAGGGACCTAATGGCTGAGATCTTTTGTACTTTGGTGGTTCTAGCTGATGGTTGGTGAGGTGGCGTCTAACAGCTTTGCCCCAGCGCTCTCCTTCGTTAGGGTCCCAGCAAGTGGCTCCAGACGGAGCTGGGGAGGCAGATTCCTGGTGCAGGGAAGAAAGGCCTCAGGGGTGACGATTCTTACAGGGGCCATCCCTGAAGACCTCAGGAGATGAGTGTATTTTTCTCTCTGAACTTGGCTGAGGCTTTGGACCCTCCAACTGCTTAACGGATTAATTAGTTCCTTGTCCAACTGTTGTGGGATTAATTAGTTAGTTAATCTCTAGGGGCCCCAGCCAATCTCCCATTTCTATTTATTTATCCACCCTGATGGCTGCTTTCCTGGATGATCATCCTTTGGGCATTTTTGCAGAAGGGATGGAAAAAGAAGACTTTCCTGGGTCCTTGCTCAGTTCATGCCAATGAAGATATCTGCCCTCTGATCCATATCCAAGTCAAATGTAATGGTTGCAAAAGACCATCCTGGAAATTCCAGCACCTTTCCCCTTGTTGGCAGTGAGTGCATGTTACTCCGGACAGACTAGTGGCTGTGGGCCTGGAGGTTGAGGCAGCTGGAGGGTTGACAAAAGCTCTAGCCTTTTCTGCTCACAAGGAATGGGTCTCTCCTGTTTCTCACTGCAGGGGAGATCTTAAGAAAGCCACCCTTGAGCACTCTGCCGCCTCCAGAGAAGCTTTACAATGCTTTCTCCTTTTAAGGGAGATTTTGGGGGTTTATTTTATCCAAATGCTACTTGTCCAGGGAAAGTCAAGTATTGAGATTCCATTTTGCTTTGTACCTCAGCGAAGGGATTTTGATTGCCTGACATCTACTAAAGTGGTTCTCAAAGTAGGGTCCCCAAGCCAGCAGTGTCACCATGTTTGGGACCCTGCTAGTTTTCCATGATTCTACAGAATACGGCTGATTTAGAAACTCTGGTTGGGCTGAGTTCAGCCTAGACAGCTGGCCCAATAGTTCTGGTGCTGCCCACTCTGAGACCCACCGCTCTGCATTTCTTGAAGACTGACTGCAGCTCACTTTCCTGTCTCAAAACCTAGCAGATTTTCAGGATGGAGACACAGACAATACCTGTTTATTCAGTGATTCAGGGAGCTAGAGCAGTTTTAATGCAAGGCAAATGTGCAGGCACTGTTTCACCCTCCTTAAAGTGGCTTGATTTCATAGCTACCTGCTGACTTTCTACTCCTTTGGGGGCAGCACTGCCTGTAGCTAAGGACATTGGCTTGAGTTGTATTACCTGAGCTAGAACATTAACTCTACTACTCACCCGCTATGAGACCTGAGGCAACTTAACCACTCTGAACATTATTTCTTTCTCTGTGTTTGGTAGTTGTACGATATGCCTTACAATTGTGGAGGATTGATTAGATGATAATTGAGTTATTAGAATCTGCTAAGTATTCAACTGGTGGTAGCTATCTATAAAAACAATGATCTTCAAAGGTGAGTGGGAAATTTGCTCTAGATAATCCTGCTGGTGGGGGTTAGACCTACCAGGAGGACTTATTCTCTATGTACCCCACCTCTGGTCTAGGGATGACTCCCATCTTCACCCCACAGGCCCAGTTTTCCTAACAAAGCAAATATTCTTTCCCCTTTTGGCACTAGGCCATCAACTATAGGGGAAGGCAAGCCAGCTAGCCAAGCCTCCCGCCCCCTGGCCAGGCTCACCCTCATCTCTGAGGGCTGTGGAACATGAGAACTGACAGAAGTCCCTGACTTGTGGCCTGCCTTGCAGATACCCCAGTCCCTGGCTCCACCCTGAGAAAGGCTTGGGGGACCTGGTCTTTAGGCCCCACCCCACTTCTCAGGTCAGCAACTCAGTGCATTCTGAGGAGCGCAGACCCATCACACAAACAAGTGTGGGGAGCAATTTCAGCATGTGGGGTCCTGAGTAGCCAGAGTGCCAGGGAGTGGGGACATTGAGGGAATGTCCCCGGGGCTCTGCAGACTCCGTCCACACTTGACCTAAAGGGATGTGGCTGAGGAGGAACAGAGGGAACCTGTAGAGAGGGGCCCAGAGAAGTAGCCCCAGGTGTCCAGATCTATCAGCAACATCGAGTATCATCAGTGGTTTGGTCAGACTCCTGCCTCACTACTGTGTTAGAGGAACAATGCTACTTGCTCTCCTAAAGCACGGCTGCTACAGGCAGTCATTCCACTTCTGGAAGCAGTGCCCTGGACTGTGGATGTGCTGTGGACACTTTTGACTAGGGCTGGAATAATGAACTGGGGCCAGTGACTAGCTAGAGAACAAAATGAAGCCCCTGAAACTAAACCTGGGACTCTGGCCTCATTAGCACTTAGTCTTCACCAAATGAGCTAGTCTGGGACCTGAGATTGGTGAGCAGGTCTCATTTGTAAAATCGGCACCCAGCAAGGTGGCCTACAACAGAGGCCAGACAGTGGGGACTTCCAGCCAGATAACCTGGGTTCAAGTCCCACATATGTCATTCATTCCTTGTGTGACCTTGGGCAAGTTCCCTCCCCTGTCTGATGCCCAGCGCAAGGGCCACTCAGAGGATTAGTGAGCAGGCTGAACAGGATCTGCTGTGAAACAGCCTTCTAAGCTGGTTGTGTTTATTAACATTTCAGAGAGAGGCATGCAGCTCTGTGTCCAGGTCCCTGGAGAAAGGACTCCAGAAATAAAGAGCGCCCGGACAGTGAGCCAGAGTGTAGGAGAGCATAGTCCCCTAAGAGACAGGCAGGACAGAGCAAGCAATTAAGGAGCATCACTGGGGCTGATCGAGGGACACTGCAGCCTTGTTTCTATCCTTTCTAATGAACCACTCTGCAGACAGGAACTTGTCTACCATTCAAACAATGACTGTCTTGTCTGGACTGTCTGTGTCCACTGACAAATCTTAGGTGGTTTGGGGGGTGAGGGTGGGGAGGAATATTTTGACATAATTCACACGTCAAGGAAAAGCAGTAGTGCTTCATTACAGTCCCCAAATACAAGTGGAGTCACAGCCAATGTGAATCAGCATCACTGCGGGCCGGGCCACAGGCATCCCAGGGTGGAGGCTGCTGAGGACAGGAGCCTGAACAAAAGAGCGAGCCAGAGACGGCCCAGCATATGACTAGGAACTTACTTGTATAGGGTGTAACTTTGTTCTTAGAGGCTCTATGTCAGAGATCTCTTTTCTAGAAATCTTGTCAAGTTGGGATATTGTTTAATACAGTTAAAAGCTAATTATTTTTATGCCTGCTGGCTAGAACCCATCTTAATCTCTTATTTTTAACCAATCTATTATCTTTATTGCCAAAGCTTAATACTCCATTATTCAAATAGCCCCAATATCCAGCTACTGTCATTCCTTGTGAGTGACACCACCCTGGGATCTTGATATGCTGACCTCCATCTTTGATTCAGCTTGAGATATAGTGATAAACTACCTCTGACTTTAATAAGCTGAGAGTTCATTGCTTTTAATCTAGTCAGTCTGGTGTGCAAACAAATACCAGTCTAACTGATGCTAGGTAAATCTGCCTTCTGTTCTGGTGCATTGGATTGGTTTTGGTGTACAGCGCACCCCACCAGCTAGGAGCCACTGTTTGCAGGTTTGAGTGGTAACTGCCCCCAGCAAGCACTCATCACAGTCCCTTCTCTTTGTCCTGGTTCCAGGTAGGATGCTACCCTGAGGAGCTTCCACTGTATGGC